AAAAGAGGTACTTGGAGAATCTAAAGGATGTCTGCCACTTAAAAAGGACACGTCTTGGTGGAATGATGAGGTGAAACAAACCATAAGGAACAAAAGAGATTGCTACAAAAAGTTGGGGAAAAGTTGGAGTGATGAGAACATAGAAGCATACAAGGAGGCTAAAAGACAAGCAAAGAAAGTCGTAAGGGAAGCACGAGGGAAAGTGAACAAGGAGTTGTATGAAAAGTTGGACTCTAAGGAAGGAGAACTAGATATTTATAGACTTGCTCGTCTTCGTGATCGCAGGATTCAAGATATTGCAAAAGTTAAGTGTGTGAAGGATGTCGATCAGAGGATATTAATGGACGATGGAGAGATAAAAGACAAGTGGAGGTCATACTTTGATACACTATTCAACGGGAACAAAACACAAGATATCGGTGATTTGTCCATACCAGATTGTATGGTAAATCGTGATTTTGTGAGACGGATCCAAAACAACGGAAGTTAAAGAAGCTCTGAGGATGATGGGACGGAAGAAAGCATTGGGTCCAGATGGCATACCGATCGAGGCTTGGAGAAGTTTAGGAGAGTGAGGCATCGAGTGGTTAACAAGTTTCTTCAACATGATTTGGAGAAACAACAAGATGCCAATGAGTTGGAGGAAGAGTACTCTAGATGGTAAGGAGATACCAGTCAACGATATGTTCTGTTACTTGGGCTCCATAATTCAGAAGGACGGTGAGTTAGATGGAGATGTATCCCATAGAATCAGAACAGGGCGGATGAAGTGGAAGAGTGCGTCAGGATTTCTATGCGTTCGAGGTATGCCGACTAGACTGAAGGGTAAATTTTATAGGACGGCAATTAGGCCTGCATTACTGTATGTCGTAGAGTGTTGGACGGTGAAACAATGTCACATTCAAAAGATGAGTGTGGCAGAGATGCGCATGCTGCGTTGGATGTGTGGGCATACTAGGAAGGACCGCGTGAGGAATGAGACAATCAGAAAAAGGGTGAGAGTAGCACCTATTGAAGACAAGATGCGGGAGTCACGCCTACGGTGGTTTGGTCATGTGCGTAGAAGAACGAGTGATGCACCTGTCAGACGAGTTGAGATGTGTGGAGAAGAGGCAGAGAGAGAGAGAGAGAGAGAGGAAGACCCAAACAGATGTGGGTTAGGGGAGTTCGAAGTGATATGCTTCTTCTAGGGTTGGATGAGGGCATGACTTTGGAGAGAGCTAAGTGGAGGGCGGGTATTCGTGTGGGGGAGTGATCTCGTATCATCTTTTTCCCTCATCTTTTTTCCTTGTTTTTTATCCTTATATATAAGCATTATTTGTATCCTTTTTATTTTATCATTTTTATGTATATTCATCTCTTTTTATATCATCTTTTTATAATAGCTTATCTTTTTATCTTTATTTCCTTTGTTTTCCTTTTGATGGTGATATCATGTATCGATTCATGTCAGCCGACCCCAATATCTTTTGGGACTAAAGCTTGGATGTTGTTGTTGTATGTACGTGCACTGGCTGCACCACATTCACTATTCATTATTATTTAATAACTAGCTTTTGGCACAACTGGCTGAAAAGATATTTTTTTGAGCTTTTTAATAACTGTTAACTTTTAGTGACTGAAAAGATCTTAAAAGGAAAAGTTGGTAGCTGTTTGGTAAAAAGCTGACTGTTTGATTTAGTTCGGTTTGGTATACAAGCTGTTAGAACTAATTAACAACAAAAGTTACGGGCTTTTCTCAGATGCTACTCCATATAGCATTTCAAAAAAGATCTTTTAATTTTTGAAAAGCTCTTTAAAATTGTTATGCCAAACATACAATTAGTATTTTTTAGAGACTTTTTGAATACTACAAAAGCTAGAAGGCAGAAGCTTATGCATCCCAAACATAGCTTATATCCAGCGTTTTGATTTTTCTTTTAATCCCAAATAAAAGAAAATACCAATTTATTTAATAATAAATATATCTTAATTAAGTATAATAAATCTAATTTATCTTACTTAATTAATTCTATCAAATAGATCTCTTCTTCAACATTATGAATTAAATATATTTTAATCTAATTAATATTTAATCCATTATCAATATTACGAATTAAATATTATTTAATCCAAATAATATTTTATTTCTTCTAACAATTCAATCAGGGGTATAATCACTTGTTGTGTGACTCATAGGGCCTTGTATATTAAGCACTAATCAAATTAAGGTCTTAGCGAATCCTTAGACGATTTTCCAGACAAACTTAATATACAAGGACGTTTGTGAGAACTATTCAAACTCCCTGTAATATAGAGTTCATAATGATACGGTCATTTCATTCAATTAACATTCAACTAAGTCTAGAACTTGATATTGTGTCTATTCCAATAACTTAGTCTCTGTCTCTCAATCTTTCTAGATGATCCATAACGATCATATTCGATATCCAAAACGAATATATCTTTGCGTTGGCCAATGACTTTATGATCCATCTAGATATGATAAGTAAAATGTTCTCTCTTAATCTATTACGAGGAATAGATTCTTTCTTGGCTCAACTACTACTCCATGTCTCCATGTGCTTCATGATGTACCCAACACATGTCGTGTCTACCGTGATTAGAGTGCAAACGTTGGTCATGATCAAAGTACATCACTCCGCACATGCAGTATGTATTGACCTCAAGTCGGAGGACTATTACACTACTCTATACGACAATAATCCCACATACACATGAATAGAACTTATCAAATAGTTTCTTGATGAGTATGACAATATTCTCTAAAATATCTATGTGACCATCATGAATTACAAGAACTCATAGTTGTGAGATCAACTATATTTTCTAAAAGTATGATGCAATCCACATACCAATCTTATCGCATATCATCAATATCCTTTTCTAATCTAATCGCATATCATCAATATCCTTTTCTTAATGATCATTGATTGAGACTATTTTAGGACCTTATGTTATATCACATAAGCTCCCACTTACTTAGTGATAACATAAGTCCAAGAGAACACAATTATGAATAAAGCATTGACAATCGAAATGCTTAATCATAAATGTGTAATACCGTATATATCAAATATATAAAACTGAATGTGATCAAGTACATATATCTCTAAAAATGATTGTCGCTAGGACATATATACTAACAATCTCCCATTTGACCTAGTGTCAATCACTGATGCGTCTAACACCTAAACTCTCAAACTTTTGTGTGTTTCTCGTATCTCAAAGGTTTGGTGAAAGGGCTCGCCAAATTGTCCTCTACGGGAACACATTCTATTGCAACTTCTCCTCTTGCTATTTATTATCAAAACATGATAGCATACATGTATTTTCTAGTTCCTTACTTTGCATCTTGGTTCCTTAGCTTGTGCAAATGCACTACTATAATCACAATAACAATTATTGGGTAGGTGTCGCTAGTAACTAATAAGCACCGTTTAGTAACCCATGAAGTAAACGTGTTCCTAGTGTCTTTCGAATTCCCCATGCCCAAAAAGTTTGGGACCTTCAATTTTGGACGGAGGGTGTATATACTAATAGTCCTTGTACGTCTTTCTACACTTTAACATCTAATTGTAAACAACTAATTTTACCAAATAGTTGATGAGAACAAGCTAACATATCAAGCCAATCAAAACAGTTAACACAGTCAGCTATTACTAAACCGTCATTCTAACCAACCAACTGTTAACAGCTAATCGTAGATTACCAAACAAGGTCACTACGTAAAACTCTCTCATGATAATAGGGGTAGCATATATAGCGCTTGTTGGAATACATTAGGCATCTCGCTCGAACATACAACAAGCATGATCGAATAAAATAGATGCACCAAACCCATTTATAGTGAAGGTGTCACACTGTCACATAGGATCTGATCTTGGGATAATAAGAGGTACAAATTACTAAGTATTCTAATATTTCATTGAATTTAACTCACAAAAAGAGTATGAGAGTGTTAGTAGCTTTCACGATTCTTGACATAAATTGGTATGATTTGCGTTCACTTTTCCATTACGGCAAACTGAGAGAACACTATATATTTAAAATATGTAAATTGTGGTGCACCACTTATGGGGTAGGTCACAGTATTTTTACATTTATTTTTAAAATTATGATATTATTCAATCTTACTGATGTGGTGCATATTTGACATTTTGCGCTCACTTGGTTTTTTCCTTTCATTTTAGGTCCTACATAACATCATGGGTCACCTAATGTGGTAAATGTTACCGTTAATACACAACTGTCGTGTATTTATTTATTTTTTGAAATTAAAAGTAACTAATAATATTTTTTTGAAAAAATAATCAATGAAAATTACCTTTTTACAAACTTAAATTTTTTATTTTGGTGATTGACAACTGTCTTTGTTTTTATGAATTTTACTTGTTTGGCTCCATTGTCTCCAATGAGATTGGCACTATTTCCTTCGTAATAACATTTTATAATTAAATTTTTATCATTGTGAATTGTGATGACATTTGAGGATTGTAATAGTTTTAGCTCTTTAACCTTGTATAGTTGTATGCTTTCTTGAACGAGAGAATCCCATGAATATTGCTTCACCACTTTTCAAATTTCAACGCCAAATACTGACTATTAATTTGATTTGAAAGTTAAAAAACCAATTTTTTATTTGGTATCAAATGCTCCGTAATAACTAGTGTCAGTGTCCCTTAAATACTTTAGTAGGTGATACCGTGATAAACATACACAACAAAATAATACACAAAATTCATTTTAATCAAGAACGAAAGTTCATTATCAGTCCCTTGGAAATATTTCGAATATAGTAAAGGTACAAATAGAGGTTGAAAGAGCGCACATTGTCAATGAAAAGAGTATTGCATATTCTGAAAAAATGAACATCAAATTTAAAAGGCTAAAGACTTGACGATCAATCCATTTTTTATTACTCCTTGCGTCCTGAATTAAAATGAGGTAGTTGAAAAGGAAAAAATTGTGATCGAAATTCGAATAGAAAATATTGAAAGGATAAGAACTGATATTTTTCCTTGAAAGGAAACCAGAAAGTTTAGTTTGGGATTGAGGAGTATAAGAGTATTTAATAATATCATTTTGGATATTAAACATTGAAAATTATAAATTCTTTACAAGCGTCTACGCTAGATAATCACTCATGAGTTATGCTAATAGTCTATAACAGCTCACAAATTCATGTGACTCTCACAATGAAATTACTCCACTTGGTGAAAAATGAACAGTGAAATAATACATACCCTGGATTGCCTGGAAACACAATGAACATTTTTCTGCAATGATAGTGTGAAATGTGACAACTGGGTATAACATACGACCCTCACACATTAATACAGCAGTTTTAAGGTTAGCTGCAAGTCTGCAAGCGCGAAATTACTTCTTAGATGTCCGAAAACCTCCAAATCCCATCATTGCGGCAACATCAGGGTCCTCTTCGGGTTCCTCTTCTGTCGTTTTCTCTTTCTACAAACGAAAATTTATGAACAAATGGGTGTCAAAACAATATGTTGCAGAACATAAACCATAGAGAAACACAAGTGGCCTACCAATGAAAAAGATATCCATGCTTCTACATGGGAAGGCATCATAATAATAATAATAATATAATAATAATAAGAAGAAAAATAATAATAAATGATGATGAAGAAGATGATAAGTATTTCCAAAAGCTGCTAAGAAGGCCAAACTGGCTTTAAACCATATACTAGCCTTTTTCTCTTTCTTCTTTTCTCGACGTTGCCGTTTCCGCTCCTCCTCTTCTTGCTGTTGTTTCAACACCTTCTCATCAAAATCTGTAAAGGAAATTGAATGAATGAATAGCTTTATTATTTCAATTTTCATTATTCATTATTTCCTAGAACTAGAAAAAGGCAATCTAGGACAGGCATACAAACTCCTCAAAAAGATCAAAAGTGTGCAATCAGAACATTTCTCTTATCAACTGGGCAAACATCAGGGCATTCAAGAGCATGCAATTCTTTCATTAATGAATAAAACTATAAAAGGTTAAACCACGGAGAGCATGAACTGAGAGCCTCAATTCCATTTAACACCCACCTTGAACAGTAATGCTTGAACTATCTTTCCGTTTCTTCAGCATTTCAAATCGCTCTTGGACCTGAAATTTTGATACAAAATAGTCAGGGACACATAATTTAATTAATTAATAGTTAATAATCATATAACATTATAATACACACCAAGCCTGTATAGTTCCTACTTCCTAGCTATATGACTTGATTGCATAATCAACAAACTACTAGTTCTACCAAAGTGAACACCCACTAATTAGCTAGTTGTTTCATATTGGTTATTGTTAGCGGCATGTGACTTCTCAGTCTTATTCTAAATGATTAGCCCCAATATGATGAGTATTAAAAGATGTAATTTTCTATTCAAAAAAAGATTATGCACCATCTATTGATTCTATTCATTCTACGTTTGATAAATTATATACCAAAGTGGCTACTCCCTAGCAGAACATCCATACCAGATGGTTCCTTGTATTTCTTAGTTTTCTCATATTTGTCAAGGAATGAACAGCCACACAATCGTTTAAAGCAATAGAGGCCATAACAGGCCGGCTTATTAAAATTCACAGAGATGGAGCCTCGAATTTCCAATGTTTGTAAATGCAAATAGTAACTGCTGATCCAATAAAAATTTATCTCAAAAGCACACTGAGAAGATCAATATCATGTTACCCTCTTAATATGTGATCAAGATCTTAAATTTAGAATTGACCTTAGAATAATATAATTATAATTTGCAAGACAAGAGGTAGGCCCACCTAACCACTACCACCACCACAACATACACTCTTCAAGTCTTCATTCATTTTGAAAAACAATTTTTTTAATCCCAGTACTGCTTAATGATTCAATTATTTGTATTGGTGTAAAATGATGTTCAACTAATTCTAGAAACACATGCATATCAGTTTTTTATGAATCGTGTTGGCAAAGATATTTGCAAACATTTTGGCATGCAGTTAAATCTGACACCCACTATGTACCTATAAAGAAAAGAACTTTAGATTAACAAGCGTGTACATATTGCATAGTGATTGTTTCAGTCATTGCCACAGCCTAACTAAACTTCATTTTGTCAAGATACTAATCTTGCTGACCTGCTGCAAAGATGCCCGCTCCACTCGCATAGACATACCCAAAGCTCGTTGATCTGAGAGACATGAAAACATAATAAAGTAATAAACTAAGAACTTATAAATTAAAAATAAAAGGAACAGTAATTTAACGGTTATAGTACTACAAGTATTCATTAGTCATAGGTAAGAAGACATACGCTTTTTCCCATTGATATGGTCTAAGTAATTTGCTGAATCTTTTACAACACATTCACAAACTGAGCAATAGTATCCGGCCTGCAATACCAAATATATTATAACGTGACGGAGAGAAGTATGAGAAAGAGCATCAGAACTGAACATGAATCCTTCCCCAGTTCCATTTGTAGAAAAGTATCAACCCCACTGATTCGGTTATCTAAATTATTGTCTGATTTTATTCATTTAGTTTCCTTATTCTAAGGCTATGAATGGGTGAATTAGTTTCCTTCTCGTTATACCTTTAATGTTGCGATTAATAGTACCTTCCTTCTCAAAGAAAGAAGGTATATCCTGTACTTAATATCCAACTTCAAATCATTTGCCATATTATCACTTTTTTATATAAAATAGATAATGTATTTTATTTACTTGATGACAATAAGAAATGTGAAGCTCTAAATACACCTGAAGGGAAGAGCCTAGTGAGGTGTAAAAGGATTTTTACAGTGAAAGTAGCCTCAAAAGTTAAAATAGAGGTAAGGTACAATGCGTGTTTGGATGCCTAATGGTACACTCAAAGATACGCACTTGACTATGAAGAACCTTTTGCACTAGTTGCATAAATGAACTCTACAAGGGTTCTTTTGTCTTTGACAGCCGACTCAGGTTGGGTGCATCAAATGGACATTTCAAATGGTTTCAAGTTACACAAAACTCTTGATAAAGACCTCTACATGAAACTGTCTGATAGGTGGGCAAAAAACAGGTGAAGAAGTCTGTACATGGGTTAAAGCAATCGTCTAGAGCTATTTCATTCAGTAGATCAAAGTCATGAAAAGATTGGGATACACACAAGACCAAGCAGATCACACCCTTTTGTGAAACAGTCAAAGAATGGGAAAAGTTTGATCCTAACTGTGTATGACGCAATATGACAATGATTAAATTAAAAAACTGAAGGTCTTAGCGCAGTCTGAACTCAAAGTTAAAGACTCAAATCCCTTAAGAAGTTAAAGTGTTTTCTGCTGATGGAAATTGCTAGAAAGTAAATTTAAAATGTGTCTTTAGTCCCCAAAGAAATAAATTCTAGAACTGTGATAAAAACAGGGAAACTGGATTTTGTCCAGCTAAGATTTTGGTCAGTTTATGCACTCTATCAATGTGCTGATGATAATGTTCTTAGACGTTAAAAGGTGCTCAGAGTAAGGGAATACTGTTTAAGAGAAATGACCGTCAGCTGGTAGGCTCTTGGCTACCCTTTTAATGGTTGTTTAGTTTATTGGGCAGGTCTATTGAATATAGTAACAACATTTTACATGTCTACCTCAGACTATTATATAATGGCTTGAGGAAATGTTGTTACATGGAGAAGTACGAATCCAACTATTATAATGTCTACCTAAGTCTACTGTCTACCTCAGACTATTATATAATGGCTTGAGGAAATGTTGTTACATGGAGAAGTACGAATCCAACTATTGAGTCAAAAAGTAGTGCAGAAGCAGAATACAGGAAAGTTGTACAAGCTGTTTGTAGTTTCAGAGTTAGAGGTTCCAACTGATTGTAGAATGAAGCTACACAGTGACAGCAAGTCAACAATAGTAATTATACCTAATACGACATGTTAGCAGTGAAAGGCGCAGCATCAATTAGTCCTTTAAAGATAAAGAACTTCCTATTATGTGTCATCTGAATCACATAAGGCATAGATTCTTACCAAGCAGATGTATCCAAACTAGATATGAGATTCTACACTCACCAGTTGGGGGTGCTGGAAAAAGTTGAACAGAATGGTTCTTTGTTATTACTCATTGTCGGAACTTATGGTTTTTGGTTCCTTACTTTTTCGGCTGTGATTCTGTGTTTTAAATTCCTTCTGTTCTTTTTCCCCCTCTCTCTCATACCACACCAGCACACCTTCTCTCCCTACATTTCTCTCTCTAGAACTCCATTGACTAGGGTTTGGTTTGGGAGAAAGCCAGCCGGAAATGGGGCAGCAGTCGTTGATCTATAGCTTCGTGGCGAGAGGCACGGTGGTCCTCTCTGAGTACACGGAGTTCACCGGCAATTTCACCAGCATAGCTTCGGAATGCCTCCAGAAACTTCCTGCTACCAACAACAAGTTTACTTACGACTGCGATGACCACACATTTAACTACCTCGTCAATGATGGCTTCACATATATTGTACTGTTGCTGTAGAAGGTGTTGGCAGACAGATTCCCATTGTGTTTCTTGAACGCATTAAGGAAGAGTTTACCAAGAAATATGGAGTAGGGAAAGCCACTACAGCTGTTTCCGGTAGCTTAAAAAGAGAGTTCGGGCCCAAGATGAAGGAGCAGATGCAGTACTGTGGATCAGCCAGAAGAGCTCAGTAAGCTAGCATAGGTGAAAGCTCAGGTTTCAGAAGTCAAAGGGGTGATGATGGAAAACATCGAAAAGATTCTTGACCGTGGTGAGAAGATTGAGATTCTAGTGGACAAAAGTGAGAACCTTTGCTCACACGCAAAGGATTTCAGAACAAATGGAACTCAGGTGAGGAAGATGTGGTTACAGAACATGAACATAGAGCTCATTGTCCTGGGGATCATCATCGCCTTGATTCTGATTATTGTATTGTCAGTTTGTGGCAGTTTCAAATGTTAATTTTGTTCCATTAGGATGGTATTAACCGGAAATCAGAAGTCTTAAGTGTTTAAGATATACCATTCCATTTTATTTGCTACTGCACGCCTGCACATTTCACTTTGTAGTCTATATATAACATGTGACACGTACATTCCCTTGTGTAGTGTGTTCACCGGATTTATTATGGTTACTATTATTTAAAAAAAAACTTCTGTTCTTTTAGCAGAATTAGTGGGATTGTGTTCTCAAAATTTCTCCTAGATTGAATCTTAGAAGTTGCATGTATTGAGTATTTTCAAATTTAGTTCATTCTCACAGAAAAGACACTGAAAGAAAAATGACATAGGCATGTGAAAACTTTGACTCTGTCATTTCAAAGTAAAATGACACAGAATTTCTGCCCCCTTTGTGTACTATTATTTATGTTCCAATTTGATTTTTGAAGGTCACTTTACATAACAGAGAAAGTCTCAGTTCATTTGTACAGTCCTGCACTTGTATCACTTGTATGAAAAGATATTGGTCTTGGAGTGCAAGAATTGTCTCATTGAATGCAACTTGTATAACTACCATATGCTAGTATGTAATTATTGCTGTCTAGGATTACAAAAACAGTCAGTAGTATTAACTTTAATTAGTTTGCTTGTAATTGTGTCTGATTAGTTTCAATTAAATCTAGCACAACAACTACTCTTAATGCATATTCAATGCCACTCTAAAGTATGACAGGCACTTCATTTTCATTTTCATTTACCCCAGTGCCGCAAAGGCTCCCACCTACGGTGGGGTAAGGGGGGGTCGGATGTACGCAGTCTTACCCCCGTACTAAAGCACAGAGAGACTGTTTCCGGATGATCCATAGTGAAAATCCCGTCCAAAATTGCATGGACTGACTGCTACTTCATAACAAAGAAGCGCAGACAGTTTAGTGAGTCATTTTGCTTTATTCCATCATAATCTCAAGCCAAAAAATAATGAATCTTTGACTCCATATGACAGGCACTTATTGAATAATTTTTTTAAAGGTAAGCAACAAGACAAGGCAATATTTAGGAAATCATTATTATGCCTTTCCATCAGAGTCTTTAATAAATCATTTATATCATCAACAGATGTATTTTTACTCATCCTGATGATTTCTTCTTTAGATAGAATGAACAGCTTTGAACAGCGCCTAGTCATGAAGAGCCTATTGGGCTTTCTTAGTATCAGAAAGAAAAATGTCCAAAAAACATCATAAACCAGAAGTTATGAATGAAATGAAAGACGTGGTTGGGACTGGAATGTACCTGTTGGCTTAGGGGTGCAATTGGAGTCACAACCTACCAGAAACAGATGACAACGATGATAGTAGATGTCAGCAGAAATATGAAATAGTACATATTACAACAATAAATGCCATATGCATTTTAAATGCTACGATTAAATAACAGTGTCAAGATTTAAAAGAGTCAACAATCAGGAAATGTTCAATTATTCCTTGAATCATTGAAAGGAATAAATACAGCAGAAATTGATAAAACACAGTGACTAAATGTAGAGGTCATGCAGCTAAATGTGCTTCCTAGTGAATGAAATATTAGCAAAACTACAGAAAACCTTGTGTCATGAAAACAATTAATATGTAAACAGTGTCACGATGATGAGATTACTTATTTAGACCTAAAAAGAATAAATAAATGCATAGCTACATGTGCATTTGTGTTTGAACAACTTTTTTGCTCAATGTTTTCACATGCCATTATTCCACTTCGGACCCTAGACTAAAAAGTTTATCATGTTTCTAGTTCGACTTCTATAAGAGCAATGGGAGGTTTACACCATTATTAACTATAGGGTCTGTGGGATTAGTCCGCCAAAATGGCCCAAACATTAGACAAAATTGAAATTTAGTACTCCCTTTGTCCCTTAAATCTTTGCCAAGTTTAACCGGCACAGGGAATAATAAAGTAAAATTTGTGGTGTGCTGTGGTTGAGGTTTGTATAGAGGAGAGAAATATTAAAAAATAAAAACAAATTAATTGATTAAAAGGGAAAGTGACAAAGTATTTGGGAGTAACATTTAAATAAAAATCAATCAAAGGGTATCAAAATTAAAATGCTAAATCCATTCAAAGGGTTAGCTAGCACTTATGTGAAGATATGGTTAGCTTCTCACCTGGGTCTTTCCCAATCGGGACTCAAGATCCACTTCGTAATCCCTTTGCTTCAAGGGTTTCCTCTGCACAGGAGGACCTCGTGCTGCGCAAGTATATCTTTTCAATAAGGTGAAACTCATGCCGAATTTCATCGACACCCCAATAACTATTAAGAATGATAAATACCTAAAATTGATTCCTAAACTAGCCATGATAACCCAATACTGACCCATAATCTCCGAAAAAATGAGTTGTCATAAGCATTTCATGTATGAAGGCACCTCATACTCAAAAATGATGTAGGTACATAAAAGAAGGCAGCAATGGATGAAAAGACTAGCTGCACCATAGGAAATAAGCACAATATAACTCCTAAATCTTTATATAATTTGAGCTGAAGTATTGAATGATAATAAGCTTCTTTACGGTTTTGAAACTATTCATATAAACAGTAACAACCTTTATCAGTTTATCACATACTTAATCACATTTTTGTTTGAGGCGCATCCATCCATCATACATGGCATGTCTACGACCAACCAGCGTTTAATAAATGCATAGTGCACATTGAGTTGTCTCAATTTAGAGCTAATCAGGGCCATTAAAAAATTCAGGTCAAACAAGGTTATCTATAGAGAGTTCAAGATCGTTTTTAGGTATTTGTCCAATAAGAATAAATGGAGAACAATGGCATTGTAAAAAGATTGTCTTACACTTTGCCCTTTGTCCATCAGCCTCCTGCAACATGAGACGATAGAAATTGATGTGCTTTGAACAACAAAAAAGATAATAAAAGAGATTATAAAAAGAAGCAAAAACAGAAAACATTTAAAACCTTTTCTTCTCGTTCACGGGCACGCTGCAAGTATTCTTCTCGATCAAATTTTTTACGAAAAGTGTTATCAACTCCAACGACCTGAATATTTTCCCAGTCAGAACAAATTAAATGAATATATGTACTTTTCAGATGAGAAGCAAGTATATATACATTTTATTTTCTTTATGTGCTTTATAAGGTTTTTATTCTCTTTGAGCACATATAATGATGCACGTATAAATGAGTTCTTATTTGTTGTCTGGATATAGAAAACCATTAGTCATCCAAATGATAAATATATAGGTAAAATAAGAATGCACTTACTCCAAGAGTAAGTTAAAATCACCCCTTATATCTAATCTAATACGAAGTATAAGAATGCAATTGAGCACCTTATCTGAGGGAGCCAAAGATATTAGATTAAAATTGTGTAACGTCCCCTCTTAGAGTACAGGTGAAAATGCTAAATTAACTCATTTCTTTCAACCAAGAGTACAAAACTGCAATATAATAACTTTTTAACAATGAAGATGAAAAATTCAAAATAAACTTAAACTGAGTGTAAAGTTAACAATCAACAAAACTTTATAACCATCTGGGACCAGGAATTTTCTATAACTTACATTTAAATAAAACTGAACTTAAAAAATTATTTTAATGACTTTAAAAGTCATGTCTAAAAAACTATAGCTAAACTTGCCGAGGTCGTTGCTGGGAGTTCATCTTGGCCCACCATCCACTCTCTTTCTATCTTCCTAGGCCTTTGCCTCGCCCTTAGTATCTTTATAAGTACAGGAAGATTAAGTCACTGTGAGTCTGCAAAACAATGAAAACAATTAAAAAGTATAAGAAAATATTTAACAGATAAGTCATGAAGTACTTCAGGCTTGTAGTCAGAGGAAAAGGTGTCATCATCTCTGAACAAATTGAATCTTAACTTACGTAAGGACACGTCTTTTCTCTTTGTGGGATTAAACCATGAGTGCGTATCACTTAGTCTTTCACTTTGCAAGCTAGTTTTTTAGAGTCACTCATTCATCATATCACATAAACCACAAATCTGGATCAATAATCTTTTGAACATAAACTTGGATTAAAAAGGTATAATTGCATGGTTGAATAGGCCAGTGTAGTTAATGGCGGGTTGTGTCGGATGGCCAAAACCCCATCAATAATTTGTTGGCAATTATAAATTATGAGTCAGTGTATGGCTGCCCGCTGCCTGTTTTCAATTTTTGTTTTATGACTCTATGCATTATGTGATACATGTTGTATAATGGGCTAATAAATAATCATACTCACAGCAATCAAGATAACTTGTGGAAACTGTAAAATGGGGTGTCTTTAGCGATTTGGAGGCCCTAGACAGAAAAAACACTATATTCACAAATCATAAAACTGTGATTTCTATAACATAAAAGTCATTACAAAAGAGATAAACTGAATAAAAGCAGACCCTAGGAGAAACAAAGCATATTCAAAGTGGGCTGTGGACCATATAATGTGAACTTAAAGAATACGTTTTTAAATGTAGAAATATGCCAAATACACCACAATTTGTACTCTTTAAATGTATCAGGTTGTAAAGGGAAAGCAATCAAGCATAAATGACAAACCTGAGGGGATGTATGATCCAGAAGTTCGCGCAGAGTAATGAGTAATAAGAGAAACAGAGAGTAGAGTGAGGAGAAGTGGCGAAAAGTAGAAGGCGTTCGGCGGACGGCAGTTCCGTGCTTGAAAGTCGCGTGCCACGGCGAAGTCGTCGACAGAAGGCGGTCGGCGGAATGATAGTTTTTAGGCCCTTTTGGTCGTTTGGAACGTGAGGCTGTTCATCAGGCAGGTAACTCATACTAGTGGTATTTTGTATTTTTTCCGATACGAATTTGAATTCAATATGAACAGAATATAAATTTCTATTTGTATGTGTATTTGTTTAACAAAGCAAATAATTAAAGAATCATATACGAATATTGAATCGATATGAAAATAAGTTAAATATTAATCAAATATCACTTTCAAATAACTTTTCTTATATTTTTATGTTATAAATGCATGGCTATGACCCTATGTGTTTTTAAAATTTGAACTATACACACACATAGTGGATAGTTGATGCACACACATGCATATTAGGTAGTTGATTTTGTATATGTATACATACTAATTATTTGAATTCGTATTTGAAAGATACTTGAACCAAAAAGTTGATTTGCATTTGTACTAGACGAAGTACCCGTGCGATGCACGTGTATCTAGAATATAGTACTCCGTAACAAACTATTTGATTATATAATACTCCCTCCGTTTCTAAAAGAAACTCACACTTTCCTTTTTGAGATGTTTCAAAAACAAAGGGGGTGTTTGGCAATTGGCTGTTGATCGTTGGCTATTGGTTGAATATGTTGGCTTATTGGGTAACAGCAGATTCTGTTGGCTGTTTTGATTAGCTAATAATGTTAGCTGTTTATAAAACAGTGTTGGGTTAAACGGATGTTCACAATTGGCTGATAACTTGTTAAATTACTTTTAAGGACATCAATTAGTTTTTTTTGTTTATAAACTACTTTTATATATGTTCCACACATTTTGCTAATATTGTTAATAGAACTACTTAATCCGACCAAGTTCGATGTGACATCAATGTGACATTTCTAAAGAGGATGTCACAAGTTCGAATCACATCTCAGTTCAAAGATGTTGGTCTTAGCATAACATATAGGGCTGAGCAAAACCGACCCTACCCGAAGAACCCGATCGGGTGAACCCGATTTTTTGTGATTGGGTCGGTTGACCTGACCCGAACCCAGCGACCCGATCCGCCCACCCTATACTTTTTGGACCGACACTTAGCGGGTAGGGTCCTCCTAATCCCTACCCGAACCGCCCGAAAACCCGACCAAGCCTAAGCCCATTACCCAACTCCCCAACTACCCAAGTCTATAAGGCCATTACCCAACTCCCCAAGCCCATTAGCCCACTCCCTTAGTCCCTTTCCGGCTTTCCCTTATCCCCATTTCCCTTCGCCGGTTAACCACTTAACCCTAACTTACACTCTCAGACTCTCTCTCTCTAACTCTCTAAGCGGCTAACCCTAATTTGGTCTGACTTCTCACTTCGTCGGCCGCCGTTGCCGTCGTTGTAGGGCTGTAGGCATGTAGTCCTCAACCGAGTGGAAGCCTTCATCTCCTTGTAGGGTTTACCGTCTCTACTCTCTAACCTAGTGGAAGCCTTTCATCTCCTTCGTCTCGAGCCGTTGAGGTATAAAATACTTATTCCGTTATTCGTATTATGGTAAGTTTAGTCCTTGATGATGCATGGATGTTCTGAGTTGTGATTAGTCTTGTGATGTTCGTATATTTGTGAAACTTGCATGTACAAATCTGTTCGAATGTTCGGTTATCCACTTATCCAGTTGTCCCTGTTAATTGTTGATGTATATTATGATGCATTCAGAATTTCAAATCTGTTTATTTGAAATATGAATGAAGTGTGGAAGCTAATCAAGCTATATATTCTATATTCATGTGTTGCCTACTGAGTACTGACTACGGTTATCCAGTTGTCCCTGTTATGTTGTTTGTTGTACATAAGTAACATAATTGCCTTATTATTTTGATGAAGAAGCCCTTTTCAAATCTAGTACTCAAACGAGTACAAAGAGTGAACTGGGTTCTTCAGAGTCTGTAGAGAAGTGAAAAAGCAAAGTGCTTTTATCCTTCTGTAAATCAGCTTGCTGATTGTTCCAGACTTACATATTATGGTTATTATTTGTGAGATATGAACTATGTGGAAGCTCTTACTGACTGCATATGTACAACTCTTATTCATGTGTTGCGTACTTGCCTTATCTGTGAGGTATGAACTCTGTGGAAGCTTAGTATACACATATCAATATATCATGTGTTGCTTACTTGCTTACATTAGATGGACCCTGAAGAATGTGTGACCTTTTCTACATCTGGATCTCAACCTCCTCTGAGTCAAGAAACAGTGGTGGAAAGTCAAATTCCTGAGCCTAACATTACCAATGAGCAGACTGCACCACCTGCTATTTCTGGACAAAAGAGAAAAGTGGTTGACAAAAGATCTAAGATTTGGGATCACTTTGATGAAATTAAGGATGGAAAGGGTGTGGTTATTAAGGGGAGGTGCATATACTATGCAAAAATATACTGTTGTCACTCTAAGAAACATGGAACTTCCTCCATCAGAAATCACATGCTTAATTGCATGAAAACCCCCCATGCTAAAGACACTAGACAAGCCCTATTAACCTTCCAGCCTGTACCTCCATAGACAGGTGAACCATCTGGAAAGACTGGGGTCATGGGAACTTGGGTATTTGATCAACAAGCTATTAGGAGAGCTCTAGGTGAAATGCTAATCATTGATGAGCTTTCTTTTAGATTTGTAGAGAGACAAGGTTTTTGGAATTTTGTTGCTGCAGCCTGTCCTAGGTTTCAAATTCCTTCTAGATGGACAATTGCTAGAGACATTTTTCAAATATACCTTGATGAAAAAATGACTCTAAAAAGGAATTTTAGGGAACAAACTCAGAGAGTTAGTATAACTACTGATACATGGACCTCTATTCAGAGGATAAATTACATGTGCATTACTGCTCATTTCATAGATCATCAGTGGAAGCTCCAGAAAAAAAATAATTTCCTTTGTCCTTGTCACCTCTCACAAAGGGGAGTACCTTGCTAAAGTCCTAGAGAATTGCTTACTTGATTGGGGTCTGAAAAGTATTTTTACTGTGACTGTTGATAATGCTCGTAGTAATGATACAGCTGTTGGTTTTTTCAAGAAAAAATTAGTAGCCTGGTGATCGGGCTAAACTTGCAAATGTACAAGTGCCGATATAGTAATAAATTCCGGTAAAATAACCGGTCGAATCCACAAGGAAACGTTGTTTAATTCAAGTCCGAGAGTAGATAACTTTAAATGAAGAATTGAATAAAGTGCAGGGATTTTGATTTGTGTTTTATATTTTTGGTTTTTTCACTTTTTGTTCAACAAGATAATCGTTAACTAACTTTGAGTTCAAGATAAATGATAACAACAACTAAGGCTTCGGGAATCACTTAAATGCTTTAATAGGGTTGAATATTAGTTCTTTACCAATAATTATGAATACGATGTCGCTAATATATTCTCAACTCCGGTTAAGGCAACGAGAGCGTGGTTTTCGTTACGTGTAAGTCCCGTTACGGCTTACATTCATCTACCGAAAATCCCGTTGAATATCAAGACATCACACCCGTATCATATAAGACCGGATATATTTCTATTCTCGGTACTATATATGTTTATCCTTTAATGTTCATAGTTTAGACTTCAACGTTAATTGCAAGTATAAACTAAATTTAACATACTTCTATGTTGTACACCATAGTCATAAACAATCAATATATAAAGGATAAATCACAATTTATTGGTTTAGAACTTTTATCAAACACCTAGTGGGCATAGAAGTTCATCCCTAGCCTTAGCTAAGAAATTAGCCTCTAATGCTCATATTAATCACAATACAATAATAAATGTAATGGAACATGAAATTAAAAAGGAAATAATACCTAAACACCAATGATTTCGGAGGATGAACTTCCCTCCTCAAGAACTTGAAGAAAATACCAAGAACAAAAATATAAAAGCTAAGAATTAATCTATGGAATGGAATGTGTTTGCATGATGAATTGAGAGCTTTATATAGGCTAAAGAATGACATCTTTTAGTCTATTCGAACCCAACAATCAGGTGTGGAGCAATATTTGATCGAGAAATGAGGAAGATGACCTTTTCCCATCAAAAATCCTCTTGCACGTTGGCCTGTTTTGTGCAGAAATCGTCCCAACCGGCCCCGGTTGTGTCCCGACCGGCGCCGGTTCAAAACAGGCTCTATTATGGTCGAAAAATAACACCTGACCGGCGCCGGTTGTGGATGACCGGCGCCGGTTGCTGCACCAAAAAGTGTACTCCTTTCTCTTTCCCTTTTATGGATCAAAAAGTGTTGGTTTTTGTACCGAGATGTTGGGGATGTTCCGCTACGAATTTGGACATGATTCCTTAACCAAAGTTGTAGATAATGAAGTCTTCTATCCAACAAAACTTGAATGACGTGATGTTATTCATCCAATCAACAGATATGGATAAAACACTGAGAGATATGCATCCTGAAATCCCACCAGCAACATCTGACTTTATCGGTTGATCGAGTATTGTTCCTTTCCTATTCTGGCCATGATGTCTTCATAACATTTGTACCTTATTGAGTTACCATTCGCATAAAATTCGAATGGAGTGATTTCGAGTTCTTTACAATACGTTATACTCAAATGATGGGCAAAACGTCATCCTTTTGGTCCCAAAAGCCGTTCATCACAATGTTTTATGCTCTAACTCTCATTCTCAAGATATTTTCCCAATTTCTTTTCTTTTCTTCAACAAATACATATAAATACTTATGTTAAACACAAGTAAATATAACGGCTATCAAATCCCCCCACACTTGAGCATTGCTTGTCCTCAAGCAATTTCTTTGTATTGATGCACAATTAGAAAAGAAACTAAATCATGCAAATTAAAAGTTTAATAAGATGTTAAAAATTAGATATAAACTCTTTAATCTTTCTCGAGCCAAAAACCTTTTTCTATTACTCACAATAAATGTATTTAAGATTAAGAAAAATATTTAAACACTTGATGTGTTTATTTTGTGACAATTTAGGCAATGTGTGGGTATGTCGGTGTTTTTTTTTCTTTTGGACTGACAACTTGATTTTGTAGAGAAGACTATTCTAGGAGAACATGAGTTTTTTTTTGCTTTTGTATATAAACCTTTTTTTTGTTCTCCGTAATTATATATCTAGATTGTCAGAAATGAGGAGAATCCGACAATAGAGTGATTTGGAGTTGGGATGAAACTTTTATTTTGAATTTTGCACTCTATGCACATTTGTATGAATTTGGAACATTGTCACAAATTTGAGTGAAAGTGGTGGTTTCAAGATTAATAAATATTTTAATTAATCTAAAAATACATTTTTGTGAGTAAAAGTAAATCTTTCTCAACCAAAACCCTTAAAAGAGAGAATATCAAAAAATTTAACCTTCCTACAAAAAATTTAATTTGCAAAGAAAAGTTTCTCAACTAATTATTCACCCCCCACACTTGATTTGCATTGTCCACAATGTAGATTGGAGAATGTAATGCAAGATGAAATCTTCAATAGTGGAATGAGATGTTTTTGAGAGAAGAAAATGCATGATACTTGAGCTGAGATCGATGATTTTTTTTTGTTTATTTTTTTCTTTTTGATTTTTTTTTTGATTTTTTTTTTGATTTTTTTTTTGATTTTTTTTGTTGGGTTGCCTCCCAATTAGCGCTTAGTTTAACGTCATAGGCCGGACGAATGTACCTCTTTTAAGGCGGTGGATGTGATGCTTTTCTCCGGTAGAATTTGATCATTGTGCCTCCTTTCATCGGGTAGAGTTTCGGGAGAACTTCGTTGTTCGTTGGTGTGATCTCGAGTACGTCTTCGGGGTGTGTTGGAGGATCCTCGGGCCCAAATATTTGTGCCTTCTTGATGTCCATGATGTTTATGGCCTTGGGAGGTGTGAAACGGTTTGTGTTGTCCTTCATGTTTTGAGTTGGAGTGGATTGTGTCTTCCATACATGGAATGTTTCATCATCTTCTCCCACTCTTAGCTTTACCGTGCCCGCTTGTACATCAGTACCTTTTTTCTGAAATTTCTGACTTGTTCCTTGTTCTCAAAGATATGGTTGCCTCTCCAACTGCTTCTGTCAGTGCCATGGGGAGTACTATGAAATCCAAACTAGACAAGTACTGGGGTGATCCTGAAAAGATGAACTATCTAATCTTCTATGCTAATGTCTTAGATCCTAGGGACAAGTTTGAGTATATGCCATTTCAGCTAAATGCTTTATATGGTGATAAAAAAGGTGCTGCTTTTTTTCTAAAAGTGAAGTCAGGTCTAACTGAGTTATTTGTTGATTATGTTTCAAGTTACCCTGACTGTGTTGGTGGAAGTTCTAATACAACTTTTACTTCTGGAGCATCTATGGAGTGTGGTAATTCTGAAAATAGGCCTGTGTCCAGGTTTAAGGCTGATCTTAAAAAGAAGAAGCTTGAGAGTGGTCAGGTAGGAGTTAAAAAATCTGAACTTGATATATATTTAGCTGAGTCCATAATTGAGGAAGATGGGGACTTTGATATTCTAAGATGGTGGAAGTTAAATAGTGAAAGGTTTCCTATACTTTCCAAGATGGCTAGGGATGTACTTGGTGTTCCCATTTCCACAGTTGCTTCTGAGTCCACTTTCAGTACAAGTGGTAGGGTTTTGGACTGTTTTAGAAGTTCATTAAGATGTAAAATTGTGGAAGCCCTTATTTGTGCACAAGATTGGTTGAGATTGGCTCACCAGCCTATCTCAATTGAAGAAAACATTGATGAAGTAGAGAGACTGGAAAAAGGTATAACTTTTATAGTTTTATGTGTTTTCATGTATTATTTGCTTATTATGAATCTTCTTGTTTATATTTCCTAATTCTAACAATTCTCTTTGTTTGTTATAGAAATAATGGATGGAAATGTTGGTGGTGGAACTGCTCCTCCTACTGGATCCTCTATTGTGCCATTAAGTGTACATTTTCTATATTTTTATAGGGTTTAGGGTTGGCATTGCTCTTTCAGTTCATAACAAGCATTCTGACTTCTGAGCTATATGACATGTTTGGTTTTTGCCATTATTTGGTTGTTTGGCTATGATGAAGCTTCCACTCATTACTGCATTTAGGGTTTAGGGTTGGTGTTGCTCTTTCAGTTCATAAAATGGTAAGTTGTAACTGAAATTGTAGCAGATGCCCCCTATTTCCCCTTATGAATGATAAAAAGCATTCTGAGCTCTGAACATTAGTACATCAGTAACTGATTATGTGCATTCTGAGCTGTATGTGTATGTGCATTCTGACTTCTGAGCTCTCTGATTATGTATAATGTATTATGAGTATGTATAATGTGTATAGGTTTGAATGTTTGAATGTGTATGCACATGAGTGCATGACTCTCTGATTTGGCATTATGTGGTTGTTTTTCCATGCGCATTCTGACTTCTGAGCTCTCTGATTATGTATAATGTATTATGAGTATGATTATGTCATTCTGGAAAGCATTCTGGCAACTGTGAACTGTCCCTGGACTCTTGTCCCTTGCTCTGACTTGTTCAGGTTTTGTGTAAGTAACTCATAATCCCATTAATCCTTGACTATATCATTTCTATTAAATTTCATTGGTTATGATGAAGCTTCCACACATTACTGAATGTATGGTTTAAGGTTGGTATAGCTCTTTCAGTTCACAACATGTAAGTTGTAACTGAAATTGTAGCAGTTGCCCCTATATTCCTGGTGAAGGATAACAAGCATTCCGAGTCAGTGATTTTTCTGATTTGTTATTTTGTTTCATTAACTTATCCAAGTTACTCTGACTTATTATACATGTATAATTGACTTATTATACATTTATACATATGCAAGTGGAAACTTGAAGCTGGTGAAGGATGTTAATGAATTATGTAGCATTTTGTAATTTGTTTAAGTTTGTTCTAAAGTTTGTTTATTAAACTTTGTTCTAATTTTGTAATTTTGCGTACTTGTATTAAATTTGTTTATGAAGCTGTGTATTCTTTACTTTGTTCTATAAGTTTAAAAGACTGGTATCAAATTGCCATATATTTTACTTGAACATTTTGTCTATGAACATTTTGTATGAGTTACTTGAACCCGACATAACCCGATACCCGAACCGAACCCGCCCTACCCGAAGCTCATTAAAACCCGAAAATTTTAGGGTAAAAAAACATAGAGTAGGATAGGCTAATTACACATCCGATACTCGAAAGGGTCGTGGGTTCACCCACCCGCCCGACCCGAACCCGCCCGATGCTCAGCCCTAATAACAGATACTATAATAGGTTATAAAGATTTGCCCAAAAAAACTACTTAATCCGTTTTTATCTAATAAAAATAAAATTTTATTAACACAAGTAACAATTTGTTTCAACATTGTTTTTTAAACACAAATAACACGTTTTTTTGGCAGGACAAATAACATTCATTTAATAAGTGATTATCTTTTAACTAATAAATGGAATAAATAAAAAATATACAATGAAAATCTTTGTTTATTGACAAATGGAATAATAAATGGAATAATGACTACTCCGGCAACAATTGGCAGCGTAGTTGGGTTTGCTCCACCTTGTATTCTTTGGTCGTAAGTATGGAAGACGAACGCAAGGGAGCGGTGCGGACACATATGTAATTTGCTATACGTATTCAAACGGTCAAAGCCCTAAATGCTATGTTTATCGGCTTTTCCAATTTCGGTTGTTTGAGATAAAAAGCCAAGTGAAATAGCTATTAACCAAGCACCTCTATTAGCGGTTCATTTGGTCAAAAAGCCAAATAATGGTCAAATCAGCCAAAAAATGGCTGATAGGCCATTAACCAAACACTCCCAAAGTCACACTTCCCTTATTTCCTTATTTGGCAAAGAAATCTACATCCAAACAGTGTCAAACAGTGCGAAACAGTGTCCAAACAGTGCCAAACAATGTATAAACAGTGTTTTCTATAGTAAAGTCAATTTATTTCTTTAATAATCGTGAAGTCAAACCGTGACTTTCTTTTGGAAACGGAGGGAGTATAATAGAAGTTGTACAAAATTGAAAGTTTGGACCATATGAAAAAATGCAAGTAAAATTCAAATTAACGATAGTGTAAAAATAAGCTCTATGTTGCAATTAAATAACAATATAGAAGAATTATTAGTGGGGCACATCTCACTTGAAACTTTATAAAAAAGAACTATCATATATCTTGATAATGTACAAAATGTATCATGAATTTTCAATAAACTTTTTACAGGCTACATTGTTAGTAGTGTTGATAGCACGACCATCATGTATTAAAACCTCGAACTCACTCTTTGAGATGGCTCTTGACATGATAACATACAATTGACCATGCAACCTCGAACTCGTTCTTGACTATTCTTTCAATCTTCTCTTCTTTTCTTCTTTTCTTTCAACCCTAGCCTCCTCTTTTCTCTTCTTTTCTTCTATTCTTTCAATCTTCTTTGACTCCAATAATAAAAAAGAGTCATTTTAGTCGGTGTTTCCAGTTCTATATGTATGTTTCTTTCCTAGTATCGTCTAGAAGTTTATTTCCGGTGATAGAGTGTCGTTTGTCATGTTTATATTCCCCGCCATCTTTGGTCGGGTGATCTTGTGTATTACTAAGAGTTTTGTACTAATCCTTCATCAATCATGAACCTGTTTTTTTCTACACCAATACTAAAGCGGATGACCCCCTCCTGAACCACTGCCGTTCCAGAAAGTTGGGATCACATAGAGTGCTTTATTTGCGGTGGTTGGTGAAATTGGAACAAATTTACACCTGACTCCTTACCGGTTGCTGGAAAACCGGAAAGTTTAATAGTTCTTTTGATAATTATTGTGGTCGTAGCAGGAACAATCAATCTGTAGGTAGAGTCTACATCTTCGTGGGATTAGTGATTCGACGTTTTTGGTTTGAATTGTCTGTTTCTATGTCTCATGATCTCATCGCATTATAGCCTTAAGTTATATGATTGTAATTCTTTATCGATAATAATTAAATTATGTGCTTCCAAAAAATTGTGAAATCAAAATCTTTTGATAAAAAAATTTGCTGGATATAATCTTCACCTTTATTTCAATCAAACCATGATAAGACCCGAGGTTCCATTCTAAAAGGTCAACATAATAGGAGGAGTAGCCCAAAAGCTTATACAGTACTTCATATTTTATAGCTTTTCGGTGTTGGACAAATACTTTAACACAAAACACATTTACTATTAGCCATATGAGCTAGAATCCAATTTCATTCTCATTCTTCAAACTCTATTCGAGTGCATCAAATTGTTCCGTGTTTACCACACTTAATAAAGCGTAAGGACTAATATATTAGACAATTTACAAATAAATATCATGTAAAAATCTATTTATATCGTTAAAATATACTCCATATATAATCCATTGATATACTAAAAACATTTTGCCAATAAGAGGGTCAGAGGTTGTATACAATTCACTCAAAACATGGGAAACAATCATGTATAATTTTTTATTGTTGCAATCAAGCCCAAACAATTCACATTGAAGTGCAAATATTGTTGGAAAAATGTGTTAAAAATTGCATTAAATGGTCATTTTGGGGCAATTATTTGAGTGGGGTCCACTTCCGATTTGGGTCAGTTCAAAGTGGTTTCGGATTGTCCTTGTTAAGGGCTACAATTCGATATATGGTACACTCAAAACGGATAACGGGTGAATGAGAAATTGATTCTCGAAGTTCACTCGTTGAAATGGAAAAACTGGGAAAATGGTGAGTTTCTAGTGTGTTTTATCCCACACCGAAAAACTCAAGGGATTTTCACCCCCTTATAAAGGGAAGCCTCTTTTAAGGAGTTAAGATTCCTAAAGGGAAAGGCTCTCTCTTACGCGCAGGGGGGGTGCCGATCAAATCCCGAAACGGAGAAGAAAAACCGCGACTCGTGTGCGTGGGCGACCTGCGGACACGATTGTCGTCCGAAAACCTATCATTCAAAGATACGGTCTAAGTTTTGTTTCTTCCCGTAACGTTTTATTTTTTCCCAGGATCAGAGTTGCTCCAACTCTGGTGAGGGTATTCTGATCGCGCACCAGAACTGCTCCAAGCCGTTACAACCATTAAATGCCCAACGTTCTTGTCTTTTAATGCAACGTAAAATGGACAGTTTATGGATGATGGGTCAATGCCCAACGGACTGGTCATTGAAGTCCAACGTTCAGGTCCATTGACACCCCATTTAACACACAACAAATCCTCCTATAAATAGCTGGCAGGTGATTTGCAACAAAACAACGCACAATACATTCCTCACGAATTTCTTGAGCTAAAAACACCTAAAGCTACTCAGCAAACTTCCTTCTGTGTTCATACTTGGTTCTCGTTCGCTGCAACTCTTGTTTGTGTGCTCAAACATTAGTTCGTAGTCATCGTATCCTGGGAAACGATTGTTGCAACGCTCCTAGCACCGTGGGAGGCAACAAATACGTTTTAAGGAAATCGTGCGTAGCACGAGCTTTGACTAATTCTGTTTCATCTCCTTTCCTGTTTTTCTTTAGTCATTTTATTTAATTAATTTATTTTAATTAATTTTCTTTATTTTCCGATAGGGTTGTGGACTAATTTCATAGTAGAATATAATTATTCAAATTTGTACTCCCTCCATATTGAAATATTCGCTACATTTTCCTTTTTGGTATGTATTTTAATTTTTGCTACGCTTTCCCTTTTTGGTGAGTTTTTTCTTTAAAATACTCCAATGTCGTTTATTTTTCTACATTTTCATCTTTTCTTTCATACATTTTCACCATCTCTCCTATTTTTTCTAAAATGCTCGTTACCCTTACTACTTAACTTTAAATACTGTGCCAAATTGTATTGTAGTAAAATTTCAATATGGACGGAGTATTAAAAATAATAATTCCATTGGTATGTGTTGTGATATTTTAGTTATAACTGTTGTAGTTTCTGGTGTTTTTAATTTGATAGAAATTCTATGATATGATTTAGTTTGATCTGGTTTGGTTGATGTCCATTTTTGTGTATTTTGCAATTGTCTGCTCTAACATGATTTATTTAAGTTTAGTCTAGTATAGTCTAATATGGTTTATTTAAGTCTAGTCTATTCTGATCTGGCTAGAGACTCTGAGGCCGAACACTATGGGGGTGTTTGGCAAATGTCTGTCGGCTGTTAGCTGTTGGCTGTTTTGATTAGCTGATCGATAACAGTGGATTCTGTTGGCCGTTTTATTTGTAAAATTGTGTTTGGTTAAATAGTTGTTTACAATCAACTGATAAATTGTTAAATGACATTTAAGTCCATCAATTATTATTTTTTCTAATGTTATAAGATAACTATTTGAACCGTTTTTTATTTTTAAAAAAAACATTTGTGCATTTGTTGTTATGGCATTATCATAACTTATCGGTGCTAAGCATTTCAGACATGACAATGATGGAAACCCATCAAAAATAGAAAATTTCTCAACCTCAAAGAAATAGAAAATTTCAAAATGAAATTGATATGAGGAACAATGGGATGGATGGCTAATGGATAATGGGCATGCATAGGTCTATGCGCTACGCTGTGTTTTTCTCTTCGGCGGAAGAATATTTTTGGAAGAAGAAGACAATTACGGAGCTCGACATGGGCATTATAGGAAAAATAAGAAAACGTTGATGCTAAACGTTGGGAATTTTGGCGTTTGATATTTCGGTTGTTTCAAACAAAAAGCCAATTGAAATGTAATAGCGTTTTTCATTTTTAGCTCTAACCTCTTCATAAGCAGATTTAAATGTAAACTGGCCTCTGATATCTTCATCCAAGATCAATCTTCCAGAATTATCAACAGAGCACAGAGAATTAGCAACATCATGGACACTGCAAATCCTTCTCCAAACAACTGAGTCATACACCTTAGGTACCATGTTTTCTCCCCTGTTATATTTGCTTCTAATGAAATCAGACCAAAGGGTCCCACCCGTCCTTCATTTCCACCACATTTTGAGTGCAAAAGCCCTGTCAACATGAAACAGGGATCTAAGTCACAAACCACCTTCCTCAGTAGGATAACAAAGACTTTCCCATTTGGCCCAGTGATATTTTTTCCTTTCATTCTTAGAGCCCCAGAAGAAAGAGGCCATTTTACTGTTCAATATCCTTACCACCTTTTTAGGAAGAGAATCACCTGCCATGATATGAAGTGGTAAAGTATTCAGAACATATTTAATAAGTACAAGCCTATCCCCTTGTGACAAAAGTTTTTGCTTCCAAGAAGATAACTTACTTTCAAACTGGTTGATAATCTGGCCACAATAACCTATTCTATTAATACCTTTGTGCAGCTGAACCCCAAGATATTTAATTGGAAGAGTAGCTTGCTGCATTTCCAAAGAGGTTTTTGATGCTAAACCTAGTTATATTTACACAATATGTACTTTATACCATCATCATTATTTATAGTTATAAAATAAAGACTCATTTTTTATGGCTTTGAAAAAAATGAAATTGACTAACTAAACTGTATCACTGTATGCGCTTCTTTGTTATGAAGCAACAATCAGATCATGCAATTTTCGATGTGATTTTCATCATGGATCATCCGAAAACAGTCTATATATGCTTTACTACTGGTGTACAGTTGCGTACATTCGACACCCATTACCCCACAGTAAGTGGAAGTCTTTGCGCCACTCAGGTAATGTTGTTGTCATTTTTGTTATAAAATAAAGGAAACATGGGTTAATTCAAAAGTTTGTCTCAACCGTTTGGTTTTTTATATTTCATGTGTCTCGACCAAAAACACAAAATAAATATTTCAAGGATAGAAATAAGTAAATATGGAAAACAAATACTGGACTATGGGTACCAAATTACAACTTTTATATTTTATATTATCATATAAAATTAATACAAATAAAACAAATTATCGAGAGAAAATATTTTTTATGTACAAAATTGATACTTGTATTATTATTATCATAAGTATTAGTATTACAACTATTTTTAACAAATGAGAAATATTTTCATTACTAAATTAGATGTATTACCTTGTATAACTTAAATTACACTTTCACATGAAATTATGAAGTCAAAATTAGATCAAGGTGAACCATGTGTATAAAAATGGTTTAGCATTAAGATATTATATATTATAAAATCCGTGGTCGTCGTGAATATTTATTACCAGTGATATCATATGGTGTGTGATAATTTACAAAAGGAAAGCATTCAATGCTTACATATTGTCAACATACATACATTGACTGGGCGGGAGTATATATTTCAAACATACATTACTGTTTTACCCTTATTTTGGGCGGATTTTTCCCTCCAATTGTGGTGTAAAAACTGTTACTTTATATTATATAAAGATTTAAAATATATATTTTCAAATTTAAACCATAATTTTTGAATCCAAATCAGGAATCTAAAATTAGTTGCTTCATACGTTCATTTACAACCCTTACTCCGTATGATACTTCTGATTTATTACAAATAGGCTTGGATTTTGTATACGTAAATGTATATATGGGCTACACTATTATTATTAATATTATCACTATTATTTATCGAATATATTTGATTAGCATTCGAATCGAATACACTAATATTCTTATTTGTATTTGACAACAATTCGAATCAAATTTAGTATTCTTATTTGTATTTGTATTTGAATTTTTCGAATTCGAATAGCCTTATACGAATTTGAATCGCGAATCGAACATAAATTATTTGATTCGTTTACAACCCTACTCGGTATTAGATTTTGGATTGAATCTTTTTTTAAGTGATCGGTCTGTTTAAGTCTGATATAGTCAGATAAATGATTGATCTTTATGTATTTTATAATTGTCCCGGTAAAAACATCTCAAGTACAATCAGTGCTTACCATGCCACAAACGATAAGTAGATGCATATTACTACATCCGTTCTATAAAAGTACTTGACCAATTTTATTTTTTTGACAGTTCCAAAAAACTTTGTCATTAGGTTGAGATAACTCCAAAATTTTTCTATTATGGAGATGTATTTATTAAATTAAGTTCAAGTTAAATAATTAAATTAATTTCTTAATTACGAATATATTTTGAATTAAACTTGACATTTTTTTTAATTTACACAAAGTATATAACTACAAAAACTTTAATTGTGAAGGTAAATTTTGAAATACAACTGAAAGTACCTTCTGATATAGTAAAATGATCTCGATCGCAATCATGATTTCTTGCTTTTCGTATTTTGTAACTTGCCAAAATCGTATTATTCGTATAACACTACGACACGAACATGAATTCTCCATTCGATGCTTCCAGATTGAATTTCATCGTGATCAACAGTTTTGACAACCATGATTGAATAAATATAATGTGTGGTTATTTATATATACGAACTTGTTGAATAAACAGGGACGGACCTAGGAAAGTCATCTTGGGGGGTTCAAAATATTTTTAAGAGGGAGAAAATTATTTTTCATATACATATAAACTAAAAAAAATCTTGTTGGGGGACGGTAGCCCCCCTGAGTCTGTACTACGGTCCGACCCTGTGAATAAATATACAACATTCTTCCCAAAAAAATTATACAACATATTACTTCAATTACGCATTGTATTTTTTATGAAAATGGAAACTTTCCTAATGAAATATGGCAAGTGATACACGCATTTTATGTCTGAGCAATAATTATTCTTGAGCAATTATTATTCTTGATATATTACGGTCATACACGTATTAAATCTTACCATACACATAGTTACCATCTTGACATACGTGGCATATTATAACCATGACCTAGAGAGCAATTTCACCTGTATTTCAAATTCTTAGTACACTAATTATTACTCCATCTGTCCTGTCAAGATTGTCTTATTTTACCTTTTCGGAAAATTCCACTAAGATTGTCTCATACTCTCTCCGTTCCATAAAATTCTTCTCACTTTCCTTTTTGGGTCGTCCCAAAAAATTCTCCCCACTTACCATTTTTGGACAATTTGTGTGGTTCACATTCATTTCACCCTTTTCTTACACAACTACAATCACACATTTCCACTTTATTCCACTTTCTTAATCTCCGTGTCAAGTCAAAGTGGGAAGAATTTTTTGGGGCAGAGGGAGTACTATATTTGGTAAAGTTTTTGTGGCTCTTAATCATTCTTATTTTATGAATTTAATATCAACCACATAATCCACTTTTCTTTATTATGTCATTTTTAAGTGAGACGGAGCTAGTACAATTTTATTTCCTACTATCATTTTTATTGTTGTCATATATTGTGTAGTTGGAACTTTAACTTAAAATTAATTTTACATGTGCAGTTACTCTAATTCCCATACGGAGCATTAAATTATTATTTTTAATTAGTGTAACAGATTGTATTTATGTTAAGATTCAATTCCAATTAATTCTTCACAGTAGGCATGGATCCAACCGGGCCGAATCGGCCCGGAACCGGACCGGCCCGCTACTGTGCGAGCCCGGACCGGACCGGACTGGACCCGGATGGCCGGTTCCGGGCTTTAACCCGGTTTGAGCGGTTCTGGTGGGCCGGTTCCGAGTGTTTCGAGCGGGCCCGGTTCAATTTTTTTGTTTTCAATTTTTTTCTTTTCCTTGGGTAGGGCTGGATGTTTGGGGGGGGGGGGGGGTTGGGGGTGGAGGTGAGGGAGGGGGGTCGGGGTTAATTAGAAAGCCAAAAAAAATTACATAGAATCGGGCTCGGCCCGCCCGGCCCGGTTTGGCCCGAACCCGGTATCAACCCAGGCTGATTCCGGGCCCAACATTCCGAAATAAAGCCCGGCCAGGCCTAGGCCCAGCCCGAACCGGCCCGGGTCCACCCCTACTTCACAGCCTCACAGGTGACACTTTAAAGCCATAATACTAATGTTTACTCAAGATTGAAAATTCTAATACATGGGCGCTGAAAATTCTTCACGCTGCATAATTCCAATCTTTAAACTTTATGGCATTATTATTTCATAAATACTCCGTACATGGCATCTACATAGTATGAAATACATGGGCGGGGCCTCGGGAACTTCCAATTTTATACGGAGTAGCAGATTAATTTCCAATTTTGACCCTTGTTTGATTGCATTTTGGGCGGTAAAAGTGATTGTCATTATGTTACCTTATACAGTATTAAATAAAAATACTTCATTATCAAGGACCGATTTCAGCTTTTTGCATTTTTTGATAGAAAAGGCTGAAAAACATTTTTCAGCATACAAGTATTTTAGTCCTCAAATATCTTATCCGTCATAAAAAAATCCACCATTCGTGAATTTGTAGATCTGATTTTAATTTTGTTTTAAGCATTAAAAAAAATCTTGCATAATACGTAGCAGCATTTCAGAATTTGAAAAAAAATCAAAAGTTAGAGAAAAATTGTAAATAGTAAACCAACTTGCACCAAATTTAGGACATGAAGATAATCAACTATCACGGCAATTCAAACTGGAAAATTGGGCAAAAGGCAAGCCATACACAGAAAGCACAAAAGTTAGAGAAAAAATATTTGCTCTCCTGAGTGATGTAAGCCTGAAACCACATTGATTTGAAAAAAAAGGAGTGGCTGATTACTTAGAAATGACCAACAATGTAACCACCATAATGTCCCTATCGTTGCACAGGCCATATTATATAATACCCTTGCTTCTTCAAGCCCGTTGAATAATATTTAATACTTGCTTCCGTCTAGGGTTCCAACGGCCTCCTTCAGAAGCCTTTGTGCTTCTTCTCTTCTCCTGGATATGGAAAGTCAGTGAGATATTACAAAATCTATCTACAATGATAGGATTACAACTCTTGTTGACAACTCCAATTCAAGGATTTACTTTTGTATCTGATCATATCACAACTATACTTGACTAAAATTTCCAAACAGCATACCTTTTTATGTCGTCAACGGCTTGTTTACGCTGTTGTATCTGACGTTCTAGGATGTGGATAATTGTTGCCCTGGCCTATTAAAATGGAAATCAGAAATTAAATGACAGAAAAGTGGATGAGCGTTCCCAGTTGCTTTGTCCCAAATAGTTATGTTGATGATCATCATAATAATAAGTAATACGGAGTAATAAAAGTAGGAGTAGTAGTAGTACTAGTAGTAAAAATCAGTAACTAAAAATAAAAGGTTGGTATATGATGGAATTACAAAAAGAAATATACCTGGTGCGGCCGTAAAGAATTGAGAAGGTGATGCAAGTTCTTGAATATTAAAGATATTTCTTCCACTCTACGAGCATACTGTGATGGCCTCTCCACTAGAATATCAGCAAGCTCCAATATATGCAGCTGCAATTCTCTGTTGAGTGATCTCAGTTCCTTCTTAAAATCTATATACTTAAAAGTTAGAAATAAAGACAACTAAGCCATTCCATGATCATGAAAAAACTACAAAACTTTCCCAAAGAATATAATTATCACAAACTGTACATTTAGGGTGTACAGTGGTTCACATAACAAATTGAGTAATGTTATAGTATATTCAATGGAGACATTCCTATGTGGCACGCATTTCATCGAGTGATGATCAGATGTCTGACTATTTACCACTCAAAGAATGTATGCACATACAAATGTCTGGCAAGTGGCAAGAGTCTTCAAATTTAACGTTCCCTAGAATTACTCTAAAATGTTCATTTAAAGGCACAGCTCAATCTACAATGTGATGTTGTTTCTTAATAATAAAATATGTATACAAGTTCCAGGGCATCTACCAGGGTTTTAAATAGCCGCCCGCTACGGGTATCTTGGCCGCTATATAGCGGTCGCGGTAGCTTCCGCCCTCCGCTACCGCTACGGGCTGCTATCAAGTTGTGAAATTCAAATCACACAAAAAACCGATATGCTACCGCTACAGTCCGCTACGCCACCCGCTACGCACCGCTACAGGCTGCTACCGGCAGTGCATCACGAACCAGTTGATGTGTAAATGTTGTGTGCATGGGACCAAATATTAATAAATATGTAAATTATAATTATTAATACCAAATTAATTATTTATAAGGATGATTTAACTTTAATATCGGTTGACAAAAAAAATGTTGACTTAACAAAACAATTTGGGACGGAAGTGGATTAATACGGATTATGCAAGTTGCAATGCATGGTCCACTTCTTAAAATTTGATTGTGAAAGGACAACAATTTTTCACATAAGTAATATCTTTTCGGGATGGAGTATATCTTTTTATTGAAAATTATTTATAATATAAAAATGATATAATAATGTTCTTTGTTAAAAGTACTTTCATAAAAGTATAAAACTTATAGCTTTTATAATATTATATTAATATAAACCATGATCCAAATTTTATGAAATTACAAAATTATTTGGGACCGGTAGTACAATTAAATGTCTTCTTAAAAGTTGGCTACCTACTTGTCTTCTTTTAACTTTAACACCCATTAATTATATGTTTTGCGCATTTGAAAATATTTCACACCGCTGCGACCACTATACGTATCGCAACGGCCCTTACGGCTATTTAAAACCCTGGCATCTACTCTAACAGATGGAATAGTGTAAGACTTCATGATAAAGATAATGAGTACTGAACTGATTAATTGCATCTTTGTAGGACCATGAAAAGAGAACATGTGACTTGTTTTCCTAAAGAAAAGCATAGAGCGAGAGAAAGAGAGAGAGAACCTACCAATATTTGGCCCTTTTGGATATAACTGGCGAACACCCTGATCCTCCAAACTTGGAAGCACATCCTCAGTCTGCATTGATAGTATCATTATGCTCAAAACACCGTCTTTCAACCAAAAACACCAAAGGAAATGAACAAAAGGATGTCTCAGAAGCAATACTGAAATAAGTTCTTTCCAGTAATTTAAAAGAAAGGTGTGAAAAAATCTGCAAATACTATAGCCAAATAACTAATGAGTGAATTGAATTTACAGTGTAATTGCACCCGTAAAGAATGTATGTGCCCTCAATAGGAGGAGGGGGTTCAGGAGCGGATTTCGGGTCCTTTAGGTAGCCCTTGTACAGCTTGTAAAATGGGGGCGGCGGGGGGTAGGTTGCTGTCGACATAGTTAGAGTCCTCCAAATCCAATTCCCTTTCTTCTTCTTCTGGCAATGGAACTAAGGTTCTTTCTCTGTAGTGTCCGTCTTTATAATTATGGAGACCCTACACAGAAAGATACTTCATATTTACATATCATTTTATATGACTTCTATGACATTAAATTAATAGTAAAAAAGTTAATATCATATCAATCGAATAAACGCACACAATATGGGAAACAAAGCACAATTAAGGTGCACCATATATTGTGAACGTCGTCATCACCGTCATCATTACCCCAGTGTTGCAAAGGCTCCCACTTACGGTGGGGTAAGGGGGAGTCGGATGTACGCAGTCTTACCCCTGTACTAAAGCACAGGGAGACTGTTTCCGGAGGACCCATTGTGAAAATCGTATTGAGAATTGCATGGATTGACTGCTGGCTTAATCAAAAAATAGATTTAATTCACAAATACAATTACTAGTGAAAATCAAAATCCAGATGAACTAATTTCTACTAACAAATTAATTAAAAATAGCTTTAAGAGTTCTGTGAATACACCAATAATGGTATAATTCTGGCAACGTATGAAAAATTACTTCAATTATTTTAGTCACTGACCTTCTAAAATGCCAATTACACAGATAAGACAATAACGAAAGAACCAAACAAATCAATATTGAACAGACCTAATAACACGTTAGCCTAACTTTAACACAATTCTAACTATACAATTGTACTTAAGGTTAATTACCGGAACTGCGTAAAGTTTTCAAGTGAATTAGGCAATTAGTTGCTCCTGAAGGAAAAATCGCCAGTATTGAACTCCAGAAGGCCCACAGAAGACTGGGTAGAAGTGCAGCGGTGCAGAAGTTGCTCGCCTTGGTCGGCGTCGACGGTCGCCACACACCACTCCACGTCTCCGCCTACTCGCCTAGATACCTGGTGACTTGGCGGCTTCAATGGGCAACTCTCAGCCCCAATCGCAGGGTAAGTTTTTCGTCTCTCTGCTCTGTGGCTTTGCTGCCTTGTTCAGTTGTTCTGACGCAGGGCCAGTTTTGAGGCCTACGGAGAATTTAAAATGAGCTCAATCAGAAAAAATTGTAAAAGTCTTTTTTGTCTAACATGCATAATTATATTATTTTAAGACTTTTATCATAAATAAAGGACTTAAATTCGAAATTAAACATAGTTAAATCACGGTTTCAAAACAAAATAAAATAATTATGAAATAATCAAAAAATTAAAAAATTAATAATAATTCAAAATTAATCTAACCAACAACATGAACACAAATTCCAAATTTAATTACATAAAGAAATTCAAAAAAGTCTATAATCCCTTCAAAAAATTAAAAAACTATGGAGTATGAACTAATCAACTAATCAACTAATCACTTGATTAGCAGCACAAACTAGCAAAATCACTACAACGCTACTCAAATCAATAAACCAAGAAATTAACACACAAAAAGTCAAAATCTAATCAACCCGCAACAATCAACAACTATGATTCCATGAAGTATCATCAAGTATGAACCCTTAAACTAATCAAGTAATCAGTAACCAATGCATGAGAGATAGGAGATTAACAGAATACCAGGACACACTGAAGACAGGGGGCAGAAGGGGCTGATTTCTGGAGTTCTGGCCTTGTGGGAAGAATCGGAATCGCAGGCGGCAGGTCCACTGAGAAGGAGCGGGTCCGAGCGCCGGTAGGAAATCGAGAGGCAGCCAAGCGTCGCAGGCTCGCAGCCGTCGCTGCGTCGGTGTCTGGGCGGCTTGGCGGTCGGCGTTCCCTGTGAGCGAGAGTGTGAGACGATACTGTGACCCTTCACTTCTGCGTTCGGACTTCCGAAGTTCGGACGCTTGAGGCTTGGGCCGGTATTCAGCGAGTCCTGTCCATATACAGTGGGAGCGGTGCATAGTCAGCAACGTACTCCCAGATCTAATATCAAGCCATTTAATTTTAAGTTTATTTAACTTAAAAAGGAGTGCGTATACCGTGAAACCGGTATACGGTGAGCACCGTATACCCGGACGGTTTTATATTTTTTTTTCCTTTTTTTTAAAAAAATGGTTATAACTTTTTTATTTTTGATCCGATTTTTATAAAATTTATATCAACATTTTTATTTTTCATGATCTTTCAAATGAGACCAATATTGCCTATGTAATTTTAACATATTAACATTTGTGTGTAAAATATGTAACTTTAAGTGTTAAAATATGTAACTCACGTTCAGTCAAGTCAAATGCAACTCGTGTGTATAAATATGTATCTCTACGTGTAACAATATGTAACTTTACGTAAAAAAATATGTAACTCGCATTTAGACAGGTCACATGCAACTCGTGTGTATAAATATGTAACTCGCGTGTATAAATATGCAACTTTACGTGTAAAAATATGTAACTTTACGTGTAATTATATGTAAGTCGCGTTCAGACATGTCAAATGCAACTCGTGTGTATATATATATGTAACTCGCTTATAAAAAGATGTAACTTGCTTATAAAAAGATGTAACTCGCTTATAAAAAGATGTAACTTGCTTATAAAAAGATGTAACTCGCTCATAAAAAGATGTAACTCAATGTATTATCAAATGTAACTGAGGCCACTGATCCACTCCCAAACAGATTCGATCTTCTATTTCACAAACCTATCATATCCCAAACAGATTCGATTTTTCTTATAATCCAATACTCATTAATATAATAGTTCAATAATTTCTTGAAATTACATACACAATATTGGTCTCATTTGAAAGATCATGAAAAATAAAAAATGTTGATATAAATTTTATAAAAATCGGATCAAAGATAAAAAAGTTATTATCATTTTTAACATCAAAAGAAAAAAAAAGGATAAGCTGCGTCGTTTTTGCAACCGGGCGCACCATCCTCATGGTGCGCCGGTTGCACCATATAATTTGCGCTTAAAAAGCGGATGAATAGCCATACTTTTTTTCTTTTTTACTCTTTCTTTTTTTTCAAACAAAAAAATAGCAATACTTTTCTTTGTCCCAGTATTTTTTGTATGATGTAAATTCTTGTACTCAAGTGTAACTTCCGTCGCTTGAAATGTAATCTGAGATTACGAAAAATGTAACTTGTACGCTGGAGCGTAACTCATTTACTTCTTAGAATCATTTTCATACCCCATATATGGAATGTAAATCGCATGTATCAAAATGTAACTTCTGAAATGTAAATCGCGTTAATTGAAATATAACTCGCTGAGATAAAAAGAAATGTAAATTATCTTAATTCAAATATAAGTTGGAAAAATATCAAAATGTAAATAACCTTAATGGGGAATGTAATTTTATCTCATTGAAATGTAAATGAGCCTTTACACACATGTAACTTCCGCACAAAAATGTACATAGATGGCGTTCATGGAGTGTGTAGCTACACCATCTTCTCAATCCTGTTTGACGTTTCTGCAATTGGCGAATGGAGAGCATGCCTAGATGCAAAATTATATCCTCATCGCCAGCCCAAAAACTTGGCGAATACACGAGATAGCCGGCAGGTAACCAAATGGTTCGTGGGAAACTCACTCAGCCAACCAGATGGCGAAACCTTTCATCGGCCACTCCCAAAGGAAATAACTACCTAAGTCTGTCCAACACTTAGAAAAATTTCAAAGTACTTGGGAAAATTCTCAAGTGGCATCGAGAGCGGCCGACAAGAGTCCCAAGGCGAAGGTGAAACAAACCACCTAATTTCCTTTAGTCGAAGGTGGGAAAAACTCCCAGCGCCCGAACAAGAACCAACATCCCTCGTCGTCTACACCGGGGTAAAGCAACTACATATTCTAAGCTAAACACTTAGAAATATTTCCAAAAGAACGAGATAGCAGACAAACAGTACGAGGGTGAGGAGGACATCCCCCCTCAACCGAGCAAAGGGAGAGACCTCTATTCGACCACAATCATAGGAACCAACTACTTGAACTTTTTGTTTGACACTTAGAAAAATTTGCATGTGAAAACAAAAAGGGAGGGGGAGTAACACAAGACGAAGAAGATATTAAGGCCGAAAGTGGCGGCTAAGCATTTTCATTCATGTCAAAAATACAAAGTGGGGGCATAACGGCCTTTACATATACAGGCACTGCGACTGTCACATATCAACAAAAACAAGGGTAGAGAAGGGATCATGCGTCTTCTTCGGCGGCGTCCTGAACTGACGTATCGGCAGCCTCATCGGACTTGGAGGTGGCAGAATCTGCGAAGATATTATCATCGCTCCAATCCTCCTCGCCGATGTTGGAACTGAGGATAGGATCTTGTCTCTCCTCCACAGGGAGCTTGACGTCGTCCTCCGGGTCCCTCATCTTCGGGGGCAGTTTCAGCTTGGCGGCGAAGCTTTTCGTCAGCTTGAGCTCAGTAAACCGCCTATGAAGCCTCAAGCCTCCGATAGATCAGCCGTTGCATCCGCTGTTGGCCAATGTCATAGTAGACCGACATCTGCCTCTGTAAGTACTCCTGGCCGACAGGGCAGTTCTGGCCCCAGTCTTCTAGCTGGGCCGCCGCACCCTCATAGCACCAGGGCCGGCGTTCTTACGCTTTCCGGCCTTCGGCCAAGAATTTATCAATGGCAGCATCAGCGGCCTTCTCGGCCTCAGCTCTGGCCTTCTCGGCATCTTCAGCACGACGCATGGCTTCTTCACGGCCCTTCAGCGCCTCATCTTTTCCCTTCAGGGCATCATCCCTGTCGGCCACCACTTGATGGTAGGCCACATCGGCCTCATCGACACTCTTCTTCAGGGCCTCCACCTCGGTCCGCAACCAGTCCAGGCAGCTCATGGCCTCCTCGGCCGAAGCAGCCTTCTGCTCGATCTCCTTCAACCGGGCAATCTCCCGTTGCTACCTCTGATGGCTCTCCATCAGCATGAAGGCACCCTGCAAAAACGCAAATCGTCAGACGACGACACATGCAAGGAAAGCAAACGACAAAAACGACAAAGTGTGAAAAGAAGTCTTACTTGGACGACGAGGTCCATTCCGCCGTCATATATTCTGACGTTGCCAAGCTTCTCAAGATGGGCCCGGTCCTCGATGGGGACGGCCTGAGAAATGACGTCGTGGCCGTCAACAACCTCGTTGAAGACGCCCCCCTTCACGGGGTACTCAACCTCCAATTTGTAGGTCCCCGTGACCAGCTCCTTGTCGGGTCGCTTCTTCCGGGAGTCTTGGCCCACGGGGGGAGGCTAAGAGACAACAGTGGAAGAAGGTTGGGAAGCCAAATCCACCAAGGCAGCAGGACTGGAGCCCCCAACGTCTCCGGCTGGCACAGTCATAACCCCGACGTCGGCATCGGCTGGGGGAGAATCTTTCTTCGACTTCTTGGAAGGCTGCATGCCAACCTCGGTCAGCTTTTTCTGACCGTCATCCACCAGCCGCTTCTTCTTCGGCTGGGTGGGCGGTTTCTTTGGCACGTCAGAGCTCGGTTGTGCTCCACTCGCAGCGGCCAACCTTGCGGCCTCCTTGGCAGCCTTCTCCTCACGCGCTTTCGCCTTAGCTTGGGCCATTACGGATCTGCGGTCCATCACAAAATCTGCGTAACAAGAAAAAACACATTAGCAAAGTGCACAAAACAAAATGGGATCAAGTGCTTTAGGAAGGCATTACCATCGGCTTCGGCTGGCACTCCCAAATCCGGGCCATCGGCCTCCTCGAAGGTGGTAGTCATCTTCGGCCAAATAGCGACATCGTCCTCCGCATCTCCGTACACAAAGTACCTCACAAAGTCGATGGCAGCCATCTTATACTCTGTGATGTAGTGTTTCACGCTCCTCGACCATCCTTCCAAGAAAGCCGCCACCTGAGCATACAAAATGGAACTCTTTGGCGCGTCATGAAGGTTAAACCTACCACTGTGGCCAACAGAAGGAAACTCGGTTCCACCCTCGCCCAAAGACACGAAGACGAACTTGCTTTTCCACCATGGATGGACATCGGCAGCTCAGAGAAGGACCTCCTGTTCTTCACCTGCTGCAAATTGGCATAGCCGGCACAGTTCTGATGGCTCCCACGGCCTATCTGATACAGGTTCGTGAAAAGGCCGTTGTCGGCTTGAAACCTAACTCGTCACAGCGGAGGAGGAAGCCGATGATCAACGAGTAGCTATTCGGGGTCAGCAAGGCCAGAGGAAGTTCCACCATGTCCAAGTACTCCGTAATGAACGGATGGAGGGGAAACCTAAGCCCCTTGGAAAAACTCATGGGGTCTACTCCAAAGTACCCCGGAGGCTGATTCAGTACGTGGTCCGTCGGCTTAGGGGCCCTAACCCTACCAAACGGCCCCACATACATCTGAGCAACCAAGTACTCGGCCGCGCAGCTGTGCGGCCTGATGATACGGATGTTATCTAGATCCAAGAAGGAGAAATCGTGTCCCTTCTTCAGCCGGCGCCTTCTCTTCGGCGCAGTACCTTTAACGGCAGAGACCGGTTTCGGGCAAGGTATGGCGGCAGACGTAGATGCCCCATCCATGGCACGAGAGACTCCAACGTCCTCACCTTCAGACGACGAGGTGGCCTCCTCATCCTGGTTCTCCTCAACCTCTTGCTCCCCTGACTTGAAGGAGCTCAAATCTTCTATCTCCTCGCAGCACTCCTCCACCACCCGGTAGTCAAGGGATTTGACGGAGGCCTCATCATCATACGGGTAGTATTCATCGTCCAAGGTCTTCATCATTAACAGCTAAAGAAACCCTAAAGGGAGCTACTTTGGATCTAAGGTTGGTTTTTCACTAACACTAGATCAAAGCCCTAGGGAAGCAAAATATGCCAGAAATCGGAGAAGGGATCGATGAATTGACCTTTGAAGTTTTGAAGAAACGGAATAACACCAGCAAACACTTTATCTCTCTAGAAATTTGGACAGCACTTCGTTCTTTGAGAATGCAATAGGGAGCTTCTTCGGATGGAGGGGGGTAT